CCAAACAAAATCCCCACAGGCTATTATGTAGAAACTGACAAGCTGATGCTAAAATTTATTTGAAACTGTCAAGGACCTAGAATAGCCAAGACATTATGAAAAGGAAGAACAAAGCTGGAAGATTCATACCACCTGATCTGAACACTAAATGTAAGGCTATAGTAATTAAGAAGTGCAGTAAAGGCACACAGATCAACACATACGTGTTCAACTGTTTTCAACAAGGGAGCCAAGGTAAACTGATAGAGGAAATACAGTATTTTCAAAAAAGCTGCTGGAATAATTGAATATACGTAGGCAAAAGAAAGAACATTGATCCTTACCTCACACCAGGTAAAAAATACTTCTCTCATTATGTCCATTGGCCTAAATATAAGAGCTAAAAATTGTAAATCTTCTGAATGAAATCATATGAGAAACTCTTTGCTACCATGGATTAGGATTAGAAAGAGAATTGTTTAATAGGGCACAAAAGGCATGGATCATAAAAGAAAAGCTTGATAAACTGGGCATTATCAAAATAAAGAATGTCTTTTTTTTTTTGAAAGATCCTATTAAGATAAACACAAGCCACAGCCTGGAAGTAAATACATGGAAAACACATAGCTGCTAAAGGACTTGCATCCAGAATATATAAAGAACTCTTAACCATTTGATACCAACAAAAATGGCAAAAAGTTACCACAAACAGTTCACCCAAGATGTAGAGATGTCTAATAAGCACATGAAAAGACGCTAAACATTAGTTATTGGAGAAATGCAAATTAAAATCAAAATGAGATGCTCCAACACAAGTACTAGAAAGAAAGACTAATGATACTCATAATACCAAGCGCTATCAACGATGCAAAACACCTAGAACTCTCATGTTGTCGATGGTCAACAAAAATGGTACAGCCGTGCTGGGAAACAGTGTGAGGCTGTCTTGTGAAGTTAAACATACATTCACCATATGACCAAGCAATCTGAATCCAGATATTTACCTAAGAAGATAAATAAGTGTGCATACAAACACCTGGACATGAATGTTCATAGCAGCTTCTTTCATAATAACCAAAAATTCAAAAAATTCAAATGTGCATAAACTGCTTAGTGAATAAACAAATATAACATTATTTACCTTCAAAAAGGAACAAAATGCTGATATATACCAAACATGGATGAATCTAAAAAGCATTAAGTGAAAGAAGCAAGACACATAAAATTATTTACTATGAAATGCATTTATATGACATTCTAGAAAGAATAAAACTAGAAGAATAGAAATGAGAAGAATCCAAATCCAAATCCCAGATGCTGAAGTGAGAAAGAATTGTAATTACAAAGGGGCACAAAGGGATGCTTTAGGGGAATGAAGAGGTCCAATATATTGATGGTGTTGGTGGTTACATGACTAAATCTTTGTTAAATCTATGGAATCATACACCTAACAAAGGTGAAGTTCAGGGTATATATATTATACCTCAATAAACCTCACTTAAAAAAAGAAGAGTCACATCTGCATAAATATGTAATGAAAACACTTATGGGAATTCATTAAAACATTATTACATACAACCAAATTCCATACGGTACTATTTATGAATTTCCTTTTATTAAAATACCTATTAAGCATTAAGAAAAAACAGTATTAAAAAGTTGTGACCTCTAGTTAATGATACGCCTGTGGAAATATTTAGGGGTGAAGGGTACCGATCTCTGAAACTTACTAAGAAACTCATCACAAAAGGAAAGAGGACTGATGGAAGGACAGAGGAATTAGTACACAGACAGAAGAAAAAGCAAATAGAGCAAAATGTTCATTGTAGACTCCAGGGGGAATTCTGTGGGTGTTCAAACTATAATTCTTTCACTTGTTTGGTATGAAAATTTGTATAATCAAATGTTGGGGGGAAAGGCTAGATAAAGAACAGCAAAGTAGGGGCGCCTGGATGGCTTAGTCGTTCAGCGTCTGCCTTCGGCTCAGGTCATGATCCCAGAGTCCTGGGATCAAGCCCCGCATCGGGCTCCCTGCTCAGCGGGAAACCTGCTTCTCCCTCTCCCACTCCGTCTGCTTGTATTCCTGCTCTATGTCTCTCTCTGTCAAATAAATAAATAAAATCTTAAAAAAAAAAAGAAAGCAAAGTAAACCCAAAGTAAGTAGGAAAAAGGAAATAAAGGTAAAAGGAGAAGTGAACAAAACGGAAAACAAGAGCCAGGGAAAATTCACAAAGGCAAAGACCTTTCCGTGAAAAGCTCAACAACCTTTTGATGAACGTCAGACTTCACCCTACTCCGTGGGACTGGACAATTTGGATTATTAGAGCGAGGCCACTCGAGACTAACCATTCCTAGAAGATTTCTCTCAGACCAACCAGCGAATTTTTTAAAAAGATCTATTTATTTATTTGAGAGAGAGAGACAGAGAGCCAAAATGGGGAAGGACAGAGGGAGAGGGAGACAAGCAGACTCCCCACTGAGAGGAGAGCCCGATGCAGGGCTGGAGCCCTGGACACTGAGCTCACGACCTGAGCCAATATCAAGAGTCAGACATCCAACTGACTGAGTCACCCAGGAGCCCCATCAGAACAACCAGAGAATTTCTGGGACCTGCCAGAAATCTCCTATAGGCCCAGAGGAATATGCAAGTCCCGAAGCGGCTTGAAGTCTGGAGGAATGGCAGAAGAGAAAAAGCTGTCCACCTGCTCCTGTCGTCTCCTCCCCCCGACCCCATGCTCCTCGGTGAGGCCTGGCCGTGTCTCTCTGAGCCCTCCTCTGGGGATATTTAAAACGGTGGATCCTAACTGGCCACGGGCGTCGGGCTATCTGCTGTGTCCCTCACAGTGCACAGAACCGGGACCACCCGGGGCTTTCTGGAACAATTTCCATCGGGTGGAATTTCCACGGCCTAACCGTGAGGATCCTCTGGGGTCCACAGGTCACTATGTGAATGCCTTGGGTTAACAAAGACTGTAGTATAAGACATGTTCTATTAAAAACAATAAAAATAGCGATAACCACTACCGGAAGCTCCCGGGGGTCGAGGCACCACTTCTGGTGCTTTACATTCATCCACTCATTCAACCCTGACAATCCCGTAAGTTCTAGCATTAGCCCCGCTCTACAAGCAGGCCAAGAGGCTCTGAGGCGAGTGTGCAGAGGGACAGCTAGCGAGCGAAGAAGCCAGAAATCCAGTCTGGGCTGTGAGCTCCAAAGCCGGAGCCAGTGACCCCCGGCTGTGGGTGAGCACCGAACCTCCTTCCTCTGCCCTCCTCCAGAAGGAAAGATTATTTATCGAATGTTCCACCAGCCCCACACCGCGACAGGAAAGAATAAGATGCAGGCATTCTCTCTAGGGTTCTGTGTTCTAGGCAGAGAATAAGCCACAGACGCTTAGCTAGGTTTAGAGAGAGTTACCAGATGGAATGCAGACATAGAAGCTGAGCTCTATCATTTACACTTAACAAACGTAACCAACAGAGAAACTACAAATAAGAACGTGGCAAGCATTGTGCAGAGCTGAGGAGAAGGCCAAGGTGGAACTGAGATAAATCCTGAGTTTTGATAGAGGGGAGATAGAATAGGCATCTCCAGAAACGCAGGTATGAAGGGATTCCCGGGACCCAGGAGGTGCCCACCCGCAGAATTACAAAGAGAAACCCTGAGAAGAGGCAGAACGTGGAGGTGTGGCTGGGAATGTGCTGACATGACCTGGGTCCCGGACTGCCCTGCACGCACACCCAACGTGGGTACACTTCCTTCCAACAGAACAGGTTTTCACGTAAGGTTACCGGACTCAGGGAGGGGGCTGTGCCTCTGAGCGTGCGCTTCCTCCTTCCAGGGCACCACTGGACTGAGAACGAGACTCAGCCAGTTCAATTCCCGGACACCCCGGAGGCAGGCAAAACCAGGCCACGAGCAGAGCAGAAACGTGGATGGATCTGCGCACGGCAGCGGGTATGGGGCTGACGGAGCACGGAGAGGACGCTGTACCCCCGAACAGCCGTGGGAGAGGCAGGTGCAGGCCAGCCCGGGGAGGCCCCGACAGAGAGAGGGTGCCCAACCCAGCAGAGGCGGGCTGTGGGGAAGCCGTCCAGGGGGCGCACGCCGAGGCCGGACGCCAGGCGTCCAGGGCGGGCGCCCGGAGCAGCCGCTGGGAGCGCGCCAGAAGCAGAGGAAGGCCGGCATCTGAAGAGTGTGTGGATCCCCACAAGGGGCCGCCCAGAGCCAAACCAACCAAACCCACGGAGGAGGAGGCCAAGAGCCGCTGTGCCCAGGACGGAGGCGGCGCTCACTGAAGCGGGCCGCCCGGGAGGGATGTCCTCTCCGGGTCCCCTGTGTTCTGGGGAAAGACAGAGAGGACCCGGAGGACAAAACAGGTGAGTGGGAGGGAGGCAGTGGTAAGAGCAGGAAGCTGACAACAGGCGGCGTCGGGTCCCATCCGGAAGAGGCGGAGGGACTGAGAAGCGAGGACTGGGTCCCGTGAGGGCTGACGCGGCTGAGCACGACAGGAGCGCGGGGAGAGAGCACGGGGGCTGCCCGGCCCGGCCCGAGCTGGAGGCCACCAGCAAAGCTTCCGGTCCCCACCGGCTCCAGCAAGCCAGGCGGGATGGCTTCCCTGAGGCTGAAGAGGACTCCCAGCGTCAGATGTGAGGGGCCCAGAGGACGACAAAGAGGACGCATCACACCCACAGCACATCTCTTCTGAGCAAAAGGCAAATGCCCACGGGAGGGGAAACACCCTCAAAGCTTCCAGACAGGAGGGGGAGCAGGAAAGGGCGGAGGCCACCCGGGATACCGGGAGGTGGACTTGGGACCTGAACCCCGAGCAGAACAAGGGGGCTGCGGAAGGGCGGCGGGGGGCGTCACGTGCATACCACGGCGGCTGGTTTCATCGAAGCCAAGTCCGGTCCCCGAGTCTAGGGACTTTGAGAAGAGCCCCCAGGCCCGCCGCTGACGCCCAGCTCTCGCTGACCTCCTGGGTCCCCTGCCCTGGCCGGACGGGCCGCGTGCGGGCTCACCTGGAAAATTCGGCGCTGACGGCCCTCCGTCTGCCCTCCTGGCCTCTTCTCCTCGTCCCAATCTCGAGACCTCATCCGGTCTGGCAACGAGGTATCCTGAGGAGGGGAAATGACACAGACGTCGTTAGCAAGGCCAGAGGCGTTCCGGAACCGGGGCCTCTCCTTGCCAACCGAGACGGTCCGGCCTCGGCGCGCGCCCCCTGAGGAGGGCTCTGTGCCCCTCCGTGCAGACCAGTCACCGAGAGGGCGAGAGCAGACACCCTGGGCAGGGTGCACACGGGGCTCTGACTTCCCAGCGGTGAGCCTGAGGCCCCAGAGCGGGCAGCAGCTGAGGTGACACGAGCGCGCGTGTCCCAGTCACGCTGCGCAGCCGTCCCTCACCCACGGACACCAGGTGGCTGTAGTTCTCCAGTGTGACATCCCTGTAGAGGCTCTTCTGAGCGGAGTCCAGTTGCTGCCACTCCTCCAGGGTGAAGTCCACAAACACATCCCTGAAGGTCAAGGATTCCTGCAACGGCACATTCCTCATGAGCCCGGAGTGCTGCGCTCGGGGACCGGGACCCTGCGTCCCATCCTCAGACTTCCGCACGCAGCAGAGATTCAATCTGGCGCCCGCCCCGGGACACCCCGCACAGAGGGCAGACTGGCTTTGCACAGAGTGGGAAGTAACTTGCCCAGGGTCACACAGCGAGGACAGAGGGATGAAAATGCATGCGTTCTGCTCGCCACACCCACGTCCTTCAACACGACACTGCACTGCCTTTCTCGACGCAACCACTCCCTGCTGTTCGCCGCACGACCTGAGACCGCATAGGGGATGCAATGTTTATGCCACCTAAATTACTTTAAACGTTATAAAGAAACAGAAGAGGCGGTAAAGAGAACTTCCTCTGGAAATGCAATCTTTCAGCTCCCGGCCTGAACACAGATCACGCTGCTAAGTCCACAGCATACAAGGAATGATGAAAACAAACACACCCTCTCTGAACCGAGGGCGCTTCCCCTAGTAGGGGGAGAAACGCCACACTTACCGAGGCAACCGGGAAAAGGGGGGGGAGGGCAGGGGGGCGGGCTGCCTGTCCTCCGAGGGCAATGGCAGAGGCAGAACAGGGAACGGAGCCTACAGAGCAGTCAGTTCGGCTCAGGGCAGGCAGAGAAGGCTTCACAGGGGACACAGAGCTATGACAACAGTTCTGAACACAGCTCCTCGGTCAGGACTGTGAGGTAATAGGAGATATGTACTGCTCTTGGCTCTAGGTCCCTGTTGCAGAGCTCCTAAAACCCTGACAAATCCCCACGTGAGAAGAATACAAGGAGCATCTCGTGTTCTGATGAGGGGACTCGAAGTGAGCGGATGGGGCTGGAGACCAGAAAGGCCAAGCTGTGACCGCAAGCTCCGGATTTTCAGCCCCACCCACCCTTCTCCAGCGATGGAAGAGGGGCTGGAAATGGAGTTAACCACTGATCGGAGTTGCGGTATGACGCCGCCATAAAATCCCCAGAGCATGGGATTTGGGGAGCTTCCCGGTGCGTGAACACATCCATATTCCAAGAGGATGATGCTTGCCAAGTCCACACGGACAGAGGCTCCTGTGCTCAGGGCCCTCCCAGGCCTTGCCCTGTGTATCTGTTCATCTGGCTGTTTGTGTGTATCCTTCATCATACCCCTTAACAAACTGCTAAATGTTAAGTCAGCGTGTCCCCGGGTCCTGAGAGAGGCTCTAGCAAATAATCAAATCCCAGGAGGGCGTCACTGGACCTCTGACCTCTAGCCCGCTGGTCAAAAGCCT